TTTACCTGGGGAATTCTCGCTTTACGATATTTCAGTTTCTATTTTGATACATAGTTGCCTCTTTCCATACATTATCATCTCTCGTACACTCACACACACCTTAAGAAGCGTGCTGGGTATAAATGCAACATCTGAAGCTATATATTAAGGCATTTATAGATTTTATATGAGAATCGAAGACATTATTATGTCTGCATACGTGCATTTAGATACATCTATTCACTTTCTTGCACATGCTCGAGCGCGCACACAAACATACACACATACACGCACATACACAATAGAAAAACTGCAAATAAATAAAGTTGGATCAATAATTCCGCAGCCTGTCAGAATTATTAACTGAATTTTTATCTGAAATATGCAGATATAATTTTAGATCTATGTGAGTATTGGAGAAGTGTTGGATCAAGTGCCTTGAAAATATTTGAGAATATATTGAAAAATAATTGTTTGTTGAGTAAAATACTTTTTATCCTTAGTCTGCAAAGTTATTGATGCATTTGTGCATATATATATATATATATATATATATATATATATATATATATATATATATATGAGTCAATCTATGAAAGAATTAATTTTCTTATATTTGCATATATAGGTATGTTTGCGTGCACATACACACACATATATGTATGAAGAGTGATAGAAAGAAAGACGCAACGCCGAATTACATCACACACACACACACACACACACACACACACACACACACACACACACACACACACACACACACACACACATATATATATATATATATATATATATATATATATATATATCCAAGTATTGATTGATGTATACGGAATAAATTCCAGTAACCAAGAAATACTATTCTTAAAAGAGTGTTCAATACAGAGTAGAGCAAATATAATTTATTCGAAAATTATAACATAAATATGTTATAAAATCACTACAAAAATAGCCATTTTGTGTAAATACTTCTGGTGTCTTATCAAGTGATAGTGTTGAATATAGAATAAAGGGTTTTAAAAAGTTCAAATCAATCAAACACCCCTCGCTAGGGGAAACGCTGTTACATAAGCTGCAATGACCAATCAAAATCAAGTAGATGAGAATTCAAAAAACTTGACAACGAACCTTGGTTATAATAATTAATGCTTTAATGTTAGGATTAGACTAAAATAGAAATCATTCTAATTAATAATTAATTTTACTATAAAATTAAAAATTACCAATTTTAGATTTAATCTGTATTAAAATACTATAAAATACTTTAAAATATGATAAAATTATTTAAAAAAGAAACTGAGGAATAAATACATGTTTTGTTATTTATTTTGCATTAATGGAAATGCTAAAAATTCAGTTAGAGTAAACGTTAAAATCTAATGTGCAATATATATATGTATTTATATATGTCTATATATGTGTATAACATTCACATACATGAGTATATCTGCATAATTATATAAATATATAACTGCTCAATTGCTTTTGCCTATATGTACCCACACACACACACGCACACACACATATATATATATAAAAATATGAGTAGAGGACGAAAGATAAGTTTTCTTTTGTATTTATTCGTATTGTCTTTTACAGATACACTCTTTCTGAAATTGCGCGTACACACACACACACACACACACACACACATATATATATATATATCTTAGAGAGATGTCAAAAGAATTTAGGTTTTGCTAAGGTTTATCCATTACTTCAGCAGCGGTCTTCAAACTTTCCAAGAACCTTTATGCATTTAGCTGAACACACAAACACACATATATATATATATGCACGCGCGCACACACACACACACACACACACACACACACACACACACACACACACACATATATATATATATATATATAATAGATATATAATTTAAAGGTATGCAATATTCATGGGTAAAAGTGCTTAATATCAGGTATACAGCGTATGTAAATATCAAATTGACACTGATATGAACACCGATTGGTGACAGCATATTTTATGTTTAAATGCATTCTTCGTGGCCTAAAGATTGCGTTCACGCATGAAACACACACACACATACATACATACATATATATATATATATATATATATATATATATATATATATATAAAAATATACATAATACCCTACGTTGAACTCGGAATTTCATGCCATTTGCAATCTTCAGGTGAAAATTTGGGGTAACATCGTTTATTTAATATTTCTGGTTATCGGGGGATATTTTATTGTTAGGGGGGATAATTATTGTTGTTAAGTATTTAAATGAATGGTAGTTTAATTTCGGATTTGAATTTAACTACTGTTGTGCCAAAAACATCGACCAATCGATACACTCTTTCCATTCTAAACAATCATTTCAACAGCCTATAAAAAAGAGTAACATCCCCGCAACTAAGGAAATCAACCGGTGAAAAAACAAACCCTTCCCATTAAACGGCAGATCTATGAAGAAATAATTAGTCTATAAAGCTGAAATCAAATGTGACGACACAGTTTTTTTGGGTTCTACGGAAGACCATTGGAAACCGCGCTTCTACCACCACCACCAAATGACATTAAGCAATATCAAATATAGTAACAACACTCTCTCTCTATATTCCTGGAAACTGAAAAGCGATAATAAAAAGCCACGTATCACCTGGGAATGTGTAACGAAAGTTAAACCCTTCAGCGGGATAGGTGACAGATGTAACTTATGTCTTTCTGAAAAATTAATGATCCTAAAAAATATGAACAATCCAAATCTCTTAAGCAAAAGAAGTGTAGTAATAAGCACCTGCTTATATAGAACAAAATTTCTACTCTAGCGATGCCCGCGGACCACAAATATTTATTATTATTATAATTATTTATTTTTTATTAATATTTTTACTAACTTTACAATATAACTATTATTACTGCTATTATTATTAGACTGTAATGCATTTAACATCATGATTTTCATTATCATATTATTACTATTTTTTTCAATATAACCATTATTGTTTTTATCTTAATTTTACTTTTAGTCTTACTATCAGCAACGTGTTTTGTTTTTAATATTTTTATTTATTATATTTTTCATTTGTATTTTTATTTTATTTATTTTTCTATTTTACTCTATCTTATTTTATTTTTATTTTCATTATGTATTGTTTTTATTAGTATCTTAATTTCATTCACTGGATATTTTATTAACATTATTAATTTTATTAATGACATTAATTTTATTAATTTCATTATTGATTTTCATACAAAAAATGGAGTTCACTTACCGTCTGTCTACACTGAAGTTTGTGGAGATTAGCTCCACTTTTCAGTAGACTTGATTGCAGAATTTGATTCTAAATTTTATGACACTATCAAGTCTTCTGAAGATTGGATGTAATCTCCGTTAAAGTGAACAATTAATTTTATTCATTAATATGAATAATGTAATGTCTTGATATCGAACAGTATAATTGCAATTGATTGCCTTAAAAATGTCATCTAGAAGTACTCTGGCAGACCTTTTTTTCGTTTAGCGAAACAATAGTTTATATGTCTGTCTATATTTCAGTTTGACATTCCAACAACCTGATGAAGGCCGGAGCGTACAACGGCCGAAACGCTGTGATAAACATGGCGACAAAGATGAGGAAAATAGTCCGAATAATGGAAATAGTGTAAATAGTTTATATATATATATATATATATATATATATATATATATATATATATATATATATATATATGTGTGTGTGTGTGTATATATATATATATATATATATATATATATATATATATATATATATATATATATAAAAAAAGAAAGATGTTAAGGTGGTTCCAACGAGAGAAAAGTGTGTATATTATAAAGAAGAGAAGAGAGGTGCCGCAAACGTTTTTGGTTGTAATGTGGATTTAAAAAAAAATATTATGCTTTATTTTCCATAATTTTACTACACGTGTCTCTGGTCTCGCAACCGTCTTCAGGTAAAAGGCGGAGATTTCCACATATTATTAAAAATAATTAATTTTTTTTTTTAAGTTTTTCGATGTTAAATATTCTCGATACGAGACATTCTCTGTATTTGTGTTAGTAATCCGAATGTCTTTCTTGAATATATATATATATATATATATATATATATATTGCTCACATATTTGTCTTTTTTAAGAGCTGACTTTTTTTATGGAATACGTGTTATAAATATATACTCCTCTGTGTTTAATGCTAATCTTGGTTCTCAAGTAGGAAAAAAAATTACTTAGGCATTCTTTGTCACTATTAAAAGAAATAAAAACAGTTTTACTTTTATAAAAGGCATGAAAACACTATCGAACACGCTATAATAAAAAAATTCATCTTTAAACATCTGACAAGACATATATTTCGAAAAGTTGATGGCACTACAGCTTTTAAAAAAGGAAGGGAAAAGCAGACATTTATTCGCCCAACATTTCCAATAAGTGTGTTCGTAGAATTCGAAATGTATTTTTAAATGTTCGAAACGTCGATGCGATGTGTATGAACACGTCAGCGTTGATGAGAGCCTTAACAGAGTCAGGTCTGTAATAGCTAGGTATATTCTTTCTCACGTCGAGACGTAAATACACCTTCATTCTTTCACGTCGCATTAGTCTGCCAACAGAAATTCACAATAATTCAACTCATCGCCTTCAGCGCTGTCTCTCATGGCTCTTAATACAACTTGCTTGTTAGCCCACTTTTCCCAGGCTGTCTTGTTTTGGAGACTGTCAAGAAACCCCAATTACGTGACCTGCAGTTGAAACCATATAAGGTATACCACATGAACTGCTTAGCGGTTGTAGCAGTTGCAAGTAAGCTTAGATAATTGTGAATTTCTCAACCTTGTTAGGTACTTGAATCTGGATAAGAAAGTCAGAATTTTGGACAACCATTTTCATGGCTTTAGAATATCAGCTAACACAATTTCCCAATATATTTTTTCTCCATTCGTCTTAATTCCAGATTAATCTAATCTTTGTAAATAGTCAATTCCATGTAACATCTGGCTTCTTTGATGGTCTGCAGTATCTATGTTGGCGTCATACTATCTATCTATCTATCTATATCTATCTATCTATCTATCTATCTATCTATCTATCTATCTATCTATCTATCTATTTTTTATCATTTCCCTCCAAGCAAGGCACTACTGCCAGTAAGTTTCAAGTGGTTAAAAACATAGCGTCTTTTAAATATTTAAACCTTCGTACGTAGTAGGTGACAAATTTAAAACAGAACTGCATCTAAATGTACCAACTTCGATGGGCAATATACTTGTGAAAATCCAAATGTGGTATGCACGTCCAATTGCAAAAAGCATATAAAATATTTACAAAAAAATAACCATTAACAACGTTAAATGCGAACAGGGTCAAAGTGTATTGTCAGAATTCGAAACTTAAGAATATGTCTACCTTTGGACAAATTTTAGACCGTTGAAAATAGCACAATCGACATCTTTGAAAATGTCTAATAGGTGAGGCGAGAACGCTCGGAAGAAATAACGTTTGGACAATTTCTACCCTCTCTAAGAAATGATGCCTCCATACAAGAAGGGTAGGTCTATAACTCTGAATTTAAAATCACTTGGTTATGGGGCTAGCAAATCCACTTTGTAAACATCTACTTACTACTGAAGCCATAACAGTAATGCATAGCGTGGTAAGGATGAGACCATATAAGGGTCTACAGGATTGACACACAGAGGCACACAGACACACACATACACATGTGCGTACAAACACACGCACACATACAGACAGGCATGTACGCACATACTCACTCAAGAACACATACACACGCACACACATACACACACAACACGCGTATAAGGACGAGTGCTCAGTATTGGATTTTTGTCTGAATTTCTGGGATCAGGACTTAAGATTATCTACACTATTTATATTTGGACTATTGTCCTCTTCTTTGTTGTTTTTAACACGATGTTTCGATCGTTGTGCTCTCCGGTCTTCCTCAGGTGTATATCGATCTGAGCAATCTACACAGATTTCCGAACTAAACCCTTTATTTAATCTACGGGAGTAGACTGTTCCCATCCCACTGCTCATGTCTAGACGATATCTCTTGACATGAGCAGCGGGACGGAAATGGTCTACCCCCGCAGATTAAATAAAGGGTTTAGTTTGGAATTCTCTGTAGGTTAGCCAGATCGATATACACCTGAGGATGATTATAATCTTTCATGATTAATATTATATTTTATTCAACTCTTTAATTTACTTCGGTCAGTCTGTCGGGTGAATCAACTCTTCTCCCCTCAGCTATGGGTTAATTAGCAAGACTTTTATCACTAAATCATTATCTCAAACAAACAAAAAAAATCTTACAATCTAAAAGTATTTTATGACTTAAATAACCTGCACAAGGTTAATAATCAATAACAGTATCTATCTATCTATCTATCTATCTATCTATCTATCTATCTATCTATCTATCTATCTATCTATTTCAATCTGTCCTTCTATCTATCTATCTATCTATCTATCTATCTATCTATCTATCTATCTATCTATCTATCTCAATATGTCCTTCTATCTATCTATCTATCTATCTATCTATCTATCTATCTATCTATCTATCTATCTATCTATCTATGTATGCGAGTGTGAGATTTCAATTCTAAATATTAAATTTCATATGAATTAAGTGCTTAGAATCGACCATTTCTGTTTTGGAGTTTAGTTCTGACAAGGAAACGCATCGTATGCAAATAAACTTATAGCCTCCAGAAAAATTCAGTTCCAAAGATACTGTCCCAACTTTTTTTTTTTTTTTTTGCACACTGTCACCTTTATCTCCAAACATAGGTGACATGAAATTCAAAAGAAAAATTATCCTGGAACGATGATAATCTTATAAGTTCACAAATAAGTGATTCGTTAAAAAATGTGATGACATTAATTTCACAATAATAACACGCTATCAAAGATAATGAAACACTTAAACTCACACGATAGCTATGCCACGTTCATGTAAATAACACTTTATTTGAAATATAAACGCAGATAATTTTATCAATGTTATTTACGCACACAAATTATTTTTACAATAAAACTATTCGATAAAAACTAAAATGGCGTAGACGATGAAAGGCGTCAAGTAAACAGAATATTTCAACCTTTCGAAAATTTTCAGATTCTTTGCAACGACTAAAACAATTTTTTTTCTAACGAGAAAAACGTGAAGGTGAATCATCGAATATACATTTCCATATATTTTATCAGGTTTCGTGCAAGGCGTTCAACTATTTTAGCATATGTATTTACTTATGCATTTCTGGTTAGGCGAATCAGCGAGCACGATGATATATTTTAGTATCTTCTATAATAGCAACACAGAAGAAAAAGATGGCGGTCGTGGTGGTCGTGGTAGGGGGTAAAACAACGGGAGAGATTCCTTATATTAACGTTACATATTCAAGCTCACGTTTGCGTGAACTAACATGTGAACGTTTATTTTTGTAATAAACACATACACACACACACACACACGCACACAGACACGTACACATACACACATATATAAATGTATGTTCCTCTCTGTGCGTATCAACTGTGTTCAACATATGCATTACTATTAAAAATTGTGTGTGTGTATATATATATATATATATATATATATATATATATATATATATATATATATATATATATATATATATATATATATATATATATATATATATATATATATGTACATGGTGTGGCAAAAGTCGTGTACTATGGGATAATTTATTAAAAGTATAATTTGTAGAAATATTATTATTATTATAAATAAATAAAAATAAAGTAATAATAATAATGAAAATTATAAATAAACTAATATAAAACAATATCATAAAAACGTTGTATAAAATAAATTAAATAAAAATAGAAATAATAAAAAATACTCCCAACATGCAAGAAAAAATGTTCCTATCGTAAATACGGACATCCCGCCAAAAGACATTAAATTCAATCTCTTCACCAGGAACCTTGGTACCGGCAACACGTGTCCGACTTCTCTCTGTGATATGGCGTGTAATACCACGGAGTAATTTATCCTTTTATCACATGTCCCATAAAAGAGTTACAACCTAAAAAAATAAACACACCAATACCCACATACAAAAAATATAAATAAATTGTATGAGATTAACATACAATTTACCATTTTCTTCCTGTTATTTGTATACTTTTTTATTTTCTGTCAAGAATGCTTTCATCTCCGTGAACAAGAGGCTAATTTCTGCTGCTATGATGTGAGGAAATCCCCGGCAACATTTTGGTGATTGCCGACGTGTATAAAAAACAACGTATACCCTTATAAATTAGAGATGAAAATATTATTTACGAATTATTTAATTGTTGTATGTGTTGTTCAAAATGTCCTCCTTCTTTTCCAGAACACATTTCCAGTCCTGGGTATGACCATAAACTACATCCGCGTCCTGGGTAAGACGATAAGATACATCTGATAGCAAGTCCTCTGATAGGGAGGTTCTGAGGAGCGTGGAACCACCTCAGAATTGCTGCCGTTCTGAGGTTCACCCTGACGCGGGGTTGTATCACCTGTTAGGGCTCCAGCTATGGATAAATAGTTAATCCCTAAACTGGGGTCAAAACACTATGAACGTATAAAAATCGGTTTTAATACCAACAATACATTTTGAAGAAAAATTATTACCAGCAATACATTATTATCGGCCATACAGATTTGGAAAAAAATATTTCTCGCCAAACATTTTATGGAAAGGAAAAAATATTACCAGCAAAAATTTTGTCGGCATTAAATAACCCATAGAGGCTGGTATACCGTAAAACAAACCAAACCAAACAAATATATACTGAGATAGATATATATTAATACACATTTTATTCATACGAATCTATCCTAAAAATCTTGTCGGCATTTAATAACCCATTGAGGTTGATATGCCATAAAACAAAATAAACCAAACCAATCTAAACCAAAGAATACATATTCTATTCATACGAATCTATCCTAAAAATGTTGTCGGCATTAAATAATCCATTGAGGTTGATATGCCATAAAACAAAATAAACCAAACCAATCTAAACCAAAGAATACATATTCTATTCATACGAATCTATCCTAAAAATGTTGTCGGCATTAAATAATCCATTATGGTTGATATGCCATAAAACAAAATAAACCAAACCGATCTAAACCAAAGAATACATATTTTCCTCATACTTATCTATCCTAAAAATGTTGTCGGCATTAAATAATCCATTGGGGTTGATATGCCATAAAACTAACCAAAGCAAACAAATATATACTGATATAGATACATAGATATTAATACATATTTTCTTCATACTTATCTATCCTAAAAATCTTGTCGGCATTAAATAACCCATTGGGGTTGACATACCGTAAAACCAACCAAGCTAAAACAAACAAAGACATTTCAATTCTATGCCTGCATCATTCATTACCATGTCAGAGAGTTTCCTTTGTCATTTTACTGTATTTATATTTCATTCTTTCTTTACGTTCCTCAATATTTCTTGGGCGCGTCTAATAAACAACTGATTTTAAATGGTCCCACAAATAAATAAAAAAAGAAAAAGAAAAAAAAAGTCAACGGTATGGTGATCTTGGTAGTAATTAAACAGGAACTTTTCGACTTATCCATCTGATAAGGGAATTGTTCATTTAGAAAGTCGCGCAGAGTCAAAATAAAATGCAATGGCGCTCCATCCTATTGAAAGAACATGTGCATTCTTTTTGCTAATGGCACATTGCGCATGCAATCTAGCAAGAATGTCGATAACCTGTGTAGGTATTTTTCATAATTTAATTAATTAACCACTATTGTGCGCGACTTTGGTCTCATCCTTTACACACACACACACACACACACACACACACACACACACACACATATATATATATATATATATATATATATATATATATGGTGAATATATTTCTTAAAATGTCCGTATAACCACTCTGAAGATGGCTCATGTGAGTCGAAAGCTTAGACCAAGAACTAACTTAATGAAAAAAAATACCCAAATGTATTATTTTTGCCTTTATTTTCACCCGAAATTAAAGCAAACATACGAACTTTAGAAGGGCTCATGATCAGAAATAAGAGGCATTCATTGTCTGTTATATTTAACAATATATATATATATATATATATATATATATATATATCATTCAAGATACCATCTGTACTGAATAATATTTTATGTAATGTATTTTATTTGCTTCTAGATTTGTGAGTCTTTCCTTGCATTCGGTGCTGTAGATTATTTTGAATTCATCTACTAATATTTTTCATATATATATATATATATATATATATATATATATATATATATATATATATATATATATATATATATATATGGAGGTATTAATCTCAAACTCGGCTTTATGTTCCTTCAATATAGCTTTACTAATAAATTATTGTTGAGAAATCAGTTTCCATATAATTCTCCGCCCAACTTCGCCGTGATCGTGAGCTCCGGAAATTTCCCATCAACACAACCCCACTGTTTGAAAAGCTGAAAAGAAATTTCCATGTGCAGGTATGCAAATATTTTATGACACCTCACACCTCTGTGTGTGTTCTCTCTTTTATCTTTGATGCGACATCACAAGCGCATTCGCTTAACGTTAAGTCCATTGTGCCTGTTAAAAGAAATATGGCTTACCTCCCGTTGCTTTCTGCTTACAGCTTTCATTATGTTTTAATCCCGGTAGACTAGAAGGATTGGCGCAAACGCACATACCAATTCCATTTATCACTACTAGGTCTCGTAGTATGAAGAGCTGAATAAATGGTACAACGCAAAGACGAAGTCTGCTTCGAAGAGATAGCTGCGTATTTTTGTGAAAATGAAAATCTGAATTTCGAAATTTGGTTGATAGAACAACACATTGTTCCTTTACTTTTTTCGAGCCATCTTGTCTTGTACTGGACTGGGTAAGCTTAGCAAATATAACTTTAAAGAAATACCTTCTTTGTGATTTGGCTATTCTATTGGTAACACTCAAACTCAATTAAAGATTGCCCACCAATTTTCACAAGACATTTCGTCGCTATTTGGCCTTATTCGAAGCCATGTTAAATTTTGTAAATATCTATAACAAAAAAAAAAAAAAAATAGCTTCTATATCACTGGTTTTCCGGCAATAGTTTTTCATCCAGCTAAAATTACGACTGAACTGCTCATCTCTATGTTTTCAGAAAGAGTGCAAAATTCTTCGTATTCTGGACAACTGTTCAACCGATCTTCGAACGCATCCAATAAGAATAGTATGTATATAGTGTGCTTTCTATCAAACTAAATCCCTCAGTCAAGCTACACTGATAAAGCCTAAGTGTTGCTAAGGTATATTAAATTTATATTAGATATGGTAAATTATGGCGAGCCGGTTGGAACGTCCAACAAATAATTTAATATGAGAAATATTAAAGTTTTTAACAATATTAAGCGGGTGTGCATTGCTGGATAATCAAATGTATATTGCTGAATTATTTAGCCCTGTTGATAGAGCATAATGCGTCAAATACAGAAAGTTAACTTCACCCACTCCACTACAGAGGTTCTCTTCCGTGTGGGTACTCGTAGACAAACTAGACTGA